GAGGCAAAAATGTTCTTAATGTTTTATGTAAGTTACAGTAAAGAGGGTGTATTCAGAGCGACTCTGGAGAATTTATATTAGTCCATTTATCATGACATTTTCACACAACGTATACGCAAGACTGCTGCTCTGCTCAAATGATGTACTCAGTAATGTCTGTTGTAAGTAGGCCTGTTAAAATAATGACATAATCAGCTGATCACAATTATTCAAGATAATCACAATTATTTAATCTGACTGCAATTATTTTCCAGTCATTAGATTTCACATAACATGAGCCGGATGCATTTTCATTAGTTGGCTTGCGCAAAATAAATATAATAAATCACTTCTTTCTTCTGACTTTTCTTTTTCTAACTTTTATCTGTGTGCTATACCATGTTTATACAGAATGTTTGTTAATTTGGTAGCTACTATAGCTAATGCTAATTTTAGCATGAATGCTTGCAGAACAAGTGTTTTTTCACTCATATTTTCAGTCTCAATAGAAATATGCAAGCTTTAGTTGACACTGTTCAACTGTGGATACTTGTTATACACTGTACAGTGCAGTGTATCATCTCTTGTTAGCTGCAAAGTAAAAAGCTAGCTAGGCAAGATAGCTAATAGGCCAATTTAGCTAATTTAGACTTGTACTGTATTAGTTGCATAAAACAAACAAAACAGAAGATTAAATTGCTAATCATAATTATTTACACAACAGTCTTGACAGGCCTAGTTGTAAGCTTTAAATAAAACATTGAATGTCTTATACAAGCTTCATGTTCATGTTTAATCTTAATGTGCAAAAGCATTAGCTTAGCACCAACATATTATTAGAAACTGCTTAGGAGCGCAAGCAGAGCAAAAAGAGCATTAGACTGCTGGTCCAAAGAGCTGATGTGAAGTGAGTTGGATTATAGACTGAAGTGCTGATCTGTACAGTCCCTCTGAGTGTGTGTGTGTGTGTGAGTGTGTAGGCAGTGGTGTAAGATGTGATTGTGATCAAAGAAGGGATTAAGAAGTCAGCAACAGATATTCTACTTGTGGCGACACAAACTGCGGCCTTTACACACCCTTGCTATGTGTCCTGTTTTCAGACGAGACGTTCTTGCCTAGAGAGGGTCTGGCTGCTGCAGAGGGACCCCACTGTTCAGACATGCATCAGAACCTCTGATCTTAATGACACCCCTAAGAACATGTTACATAAGAAACTCCAGCCTTTGGAAATTTAGTCACGTCCAAGAACAGCCGCAGTTAAACTGAATAATAGATCTGTAGTACTTCAGTCAGTCTCTCTCTCTCTCTCTCTCTCTCTCTCTCATGCAGCCTCATCCACAAAAAAAGATCTCTGTTTTTAACAGCTTAACCAGCCACTGCTTGAACAGAGGACTTGCCTCCTTGCCAGACAGTTGCTGCACACATCCGAGAAAATATTCACATACAGTCAGACAGTTGCCCCATCTATGCTCTGCCCACAAAAGCAGTCCTTTTTAAAAATCCCATTCAACCTAATGAGAAACTATAGCATACAAAATACATTTAGAGCATGTTATTAGTTTCATATGTATCTTCTATTTGCATGAAAGGTCACACTATGTATGTACATATATATATATATATATATATATATATATATATATATATATATATAGAGAGAGAGAGAGAGAGAGAGAGAGAGGGAGAGAGAGAGAGAGAATAAAAGACTAAAAGTTTGATTTTCTGACTAATATAACCTATAATTTTTATGATCTGTAATTCTACAATTCTTAATCTTCAAGAAAAAACAAGAGAAAACCTACTATGTAGGTGCACTGTGTAGTTCTGCATCTGAATACTTTGTTAGCCCCCTTTTAGCCTGTTCTTTAATGGTCAGGACCCCCGTAGGACCACCATAAAACAGGCATTATTTAGGTGGTGGATCATTCTCAGCACTGCAGTGACACTGATGTGGTTTTGATGGTGTGTCAGTTTTTAAACACCTCAGTGTCACTGCTGGACTGAGAACAGTTCACCAAACAAAACCATCCAGCCAACAGCATCCTGTGACCACTGATGAAGGACTAGAGGATGACTAAGACAAACTGTGCCACAATAGATGAGCTATTGCCTCTGACTTTACATCTACAAGGTGGATCAACAAGGTAGCAGTTAATAGAGTGGACAGTAAGTGGACACAGTGTTTAAAAACTCCAGCAACACTGCTGTGCCTAATCCACTCGTACCAGCACAACACACACTAACACACCATCACCAGGTCAGTGTCACTGCAGTGCTGAGGATGATCCACCACCCAAATAATAATTGCTCTGTGAGGGTCATGTGAGGGTCCTGAACACTGAAGAACATGGTAAAAGGGGGCTAACAAAGCATGCGGAAAATAAAATGGACTACAGTCTGTAATTGTAGAACTACAAAGTGCACCAGTTGTGATTAGTGCAGTATAATTTCTCATTAGGTTAAACAGGATTTTTTTGTTCTGCAAAGCTTGCTCAGACCAGTTTTTAGGAATAAACACATTTGTGGGCGGCGCATGAAGAGGTCAATTAAGGATCATGTGTTCGATATACAGCAGTTCGTCTTTTTTTATTCTGTTCATCATCATATCTATTCCTTTCCAGACTCGTTTCAGCAGTTCAAGGAGAGTATTTAAAGCATTTAAAGGCTTACCCAGCGGAGTGATGATCTGAAAAGGAAAACACTGTCACATTTGCATTTCTAAAACTGTACACAGACAGGCCACAGATAAAGCGAAGCCTCCCCTCTCCGGCCATTTGGCAGCATCCAAATGCATGCATGAGCTCAGACGCCCCAAATTCTGAGCCGTGTCACGTTATTACTATTAGACATGAGCAAACCCTCATGCATCTGCAAGCACTGGAGAGGAGAGGAAGAGAGGGAGGGGTGCAGGGGGGGAAGACGGACATCAGTCCTCTTTCCTTTCCAATCTTCAGTAGATGTACTTCATAGAAGTTTATAGCTATAATGCATGCTGTCTGTATTCTCGCATAACAAAAGCAAAGGAGAAAAGCCTAAAGCAAGTGTTCCACACTATATTTTTATAAAGGCCACAACCTCGACCTTATCCCTGTCTAGCAGACAAAGGTTGCTGTTTTATCATCAACTGATGATGGTTAATTTTCTAAGCCTATAAGCCTGTACAGCCTACACAGCCTACATCAAGAAAAACGTTACTGTGTAAAAATGACACTATAGTGGCTGGCCTAATTGCATGTTGCTTTTACTTTATATCAACTATTGGTGTGGCAGTACACTACAATAACTGGACACCAATAAAGTTTTGGGTTCCACATTTTGGTTTATTCATATTAACTGAATATATGCTGCGCAAAAGTCAAAGACCACCTTCTCATTTATTTAATCTACTATCAAAATGGCCATTAGGCACAAGTTCTTTGTCATTTTCAGTGTCAGAAAAAAAGCATATATTTAGGAGACAACTACCTAGAAGCCTCCCCAACTAAATATCATATAAATCTTTGCATTTATTTTAATTTCCATTCTTATTGTGAGGCTTGCTTTAATTTTTTTCAAAGAAACCTGCTGGGATATTTTACCACACTTCTAAAGTTCAGTCTTAGAAGTTGGTTGCATTTTCTGCTTCTCATGTCCCAAGAAACCAGTTAATAAATAAAGCCTTACTCCACATCTCAGAAATCCAGTTTCAGGGTTCTAGTCTAATTTTCCTGTTGTGATTAATGTTTTTTTGGCAGCTGCACATTCTTTCAGACTCATAGTGTTGAGTTGTCTTCTCACAGTGGAAGGATGGACAAAAATACCTGTTGATTTTTTCAGATCTGAAGCAAGAGTGGAGCTTGATTTTTTTTCCTCTCTTTCAAAGACGAAAGCTTTAAGTGCTGTTTATCTGATAGTGACATGAGTTCCATTTTCTCTGCATCTTTTCATTATTTTTTAAACTCCAGTTTTGGAAACTCCTGTTTTTTAAACTTTTTTTCTCTGATTGTCCCCTATTTTAATGCAAGATTTCTTTGTATCTAATCTCTTCATAATAGCTCCTTTTTTGTAATTGTCTGTTACATTTTTAAATACATCTTTTAAATATATCCATTTCTATTTTTATGGCACTGAAAAATGAATGACGTGCTTTATGGACTAGAAAATAAATAAATGAAACGGTGGTCTCTGACTTTTGCACAGTACTGCATGTGTTTTTTATAATAGTGAAATTTGCTGATTCCATTTTGGGCATATATTTCAGGCACCACAATGCCTGCATGCATATACTTGCAGACCACAGGCACAGGTGCAATGCATGTTGTATACATGTGGTTTTTATCTGTTTTTATTTTACTTTATGAGTAAGAAAGGCAAAAGAGAAAAACACTATTTGCTACAGAGCAGAAAAAGGGTTGCAGCCAGCAGAAAAACGACACACATTTACAAGCCAGAGGAGAAGATGAGGGCCATAGGCAAGAGGTAGAGGGTCAGGGACAGGCTGGGTTATCATGGCTAATATGGGCAATAGGGAATTTAATTGGATAGTGACATTGTGTAGCTACAACCAACCATAATTCATTACTGTTAAGTCAGCAATGGCAGAGCGGACAGTGATCTATGACCCCTGAGGTTCTCTGTGGCTTTTCATTAGCGCATGCATTTCTGTAAAAAAAACATGACCCGCGGACATTCAGTCGCCTCAGGGAGTGCAGCCCACTGAGGACAACACTCTAACTCGCGCACACACACACACACACACACACACACACACACACACACACACACAGAGAAGACAGGAGGAAAAGGCGTCCCCCCGGGCATTCAACACTGCAGTCCTGAAGCTCCCTCCACACACACACACACACACAAAGAGAGGAGGTTAGAATGCATGAGCCAAATGCTCTTCAAAAAGGGCAAACAAAAAGGAGCAAAAGCCAAAAAGAAGCTTATGTCTAAGAAAAGAAGAAGCATATAAAGCATCAGCAAAACAAAAAGGGAAAAAAACTAAAATAAACAAAACCATGGATGAGTTGCAGACAAACCTTCGGGCTCTGAGCTCTCTTTGAGGACGGCTTGCTTCAGCGGGCAGCAGAAGATTTCGTGACACTTAGCACGAAAGGGGGAGCCTTTACTCCTTATATCCGCTGAATGGATGGAATCCTGCCGCAACATAATGTACTCCTGGGTACCTGGGGCAGCGTCATCCTGGACTGCGGCCGGGCCACAACAAAACGAACGCAGGGTTAGAAAAAGGGGAGAGAAAGCGCTCAAAGCAACAGAACCACACAGAACAAACTCAATACAGCAGAGGGAAATGGCTAAAGATGAGAAACAAGCAAACAAGGTAAACAACAACATCATATGCAACAACAATAACAAAACATTCACTGTAGCTAGTTCAGAGAGAGAGAGAAAATGTGAAAGAGCAAAACAGAGAGACATCGAAAGGAAGAAAGAAGGGAGACAGGAAGAGAAGTGGAAAGAAAGAAAGAAAAAAGTAAACAGAAAAAAGGGAAAGAAAGAAAGAAAGAAAGAAAGAAAGAAAGAAAGAAAGAAAAAAGTAAACAGAAAAAAGGGAAAGAAAGAAAGAAAAAGAAACAACATAGCGAGATATAGAGAAAGATAGAAGATATAGTGAGATAGTGAGAGTAAGAAAGAAAGAAAGAAAGAAAGAAAGAAAAAAGAAAGAAAGGAAGAAAGAAGGAAAAAAGAAAGAAAGAAAGAGAGTGAGATATGGAGAAAGAAAGATAGAAGATAGTGAGACAAAGAAAGAACAGAAAGAAAGAAAGAAAAAAGAAGGGAATAAGGAAAGAAAGAAAGAAAGAAAGAAAGAAAGAAAGAATTTAGTGAGATATGGAGAAAGAAAGGTAGAAGATAGTGAGATAGTGAGATAGTGAGAGAAAGAAAGAAAGAAAGAGAGATTATTAAGCTTCTTTGCAGTAAATCACAGATGAGTGAACCCAAATGACAGTGGTTAGTTAGTAAATGCGGTCAGTGTAAAGGGGACAGAGGGGGTCAATCTGAGCAGATCAGAGGGAAACGGTTCGTCCAGCACAGAGCCCCGCGTTTCACACCATCATCCTCTGGCTCAGGAGCATGGCTATGAGCATGGCTGCAGGGATGGACCTAACCCCCCATGCATTTACTGGCTGAGGACAGGCTGCATGTTCCATCATGTTCACCTTGCAGAGGAGAAGAAAAGGCATTCAAACGCAGGGCATGCATCAACTTACAGTCAGATACAGAGCTCTTCTAGAGGACTCAACGAGCATTTCACATGCACATTCTGTAGAGAGCAGTTCATTACTGAGTTCATTACATGTACTGTATGTGTTGAGTGATACTGTTGTTCATGCACATATGGACAGCCGTCATTGCCATACACTCGTAATGGACTCATGCAGGGACCGCACTTCTGAAGCTTGTTTAGTTTAGCATGTAACTCAACTGTTTTAACTATCACTGAGCCTGTAAGTGAGTAATTACTATAGCAATTGCTTCGATCCCATGGGAACTTTAAAACAACCCACACTGAGTATGTACACCTTTGAGTACAATCTTTCATACACACACACATAAACACACATCTACAGGAAAAGCCTTTACTCAAAAAGGTCAAACAAGATGTATGACTGGGGGAATTTACAGTTAAGTATTTGTGATCTTCTGATATATTGCTAGCCCTGAACTCATGTTACCATGTGAAATAGGTCCACTCTGACATACTGTATCTTGCTAGGAAGGTCAGCTGACCCCTTTAAATTTTTACAACCATGTTCAAATGAGAACTGAAGAGACTACTTCACCACAGGGCACCAAAGTCAATCAAGACCTGCTTACAGGATCCAGTGCCTCTGCAAATGTGGTCCTGCAAAGACCGGTATCATCAAATAAACCTTAACTTTCGATCTGTGGCATAACAAAGAGCCAAAGCAAAAAAAAACAAAAAAACAATTATAATAATATTAATAATTATATATGCTATATGATATGTCATATAATATATGCTCTAATAAAGGATAACTTATAACTGTTTAACTTAAATATCTGTTTTAACAGTTAATGATTAAAGGAAATCAAACACTAGATGAAGAAACAATGAAGCAAATGCAGGGAAAACGCTAAAAACACGATAAACAAAACACAGATGGAGACACTAATAAGTGGGAGGAGACACGGGAAGAGACTTGAGAGGACGGAGACTGGACATGGAAATCGGGACTAATGCCTTAAATTCATTAATTTACAGTGCATTTATATTTGTAGTTTGGTTCCCTTGGCCTGGATCAAAGCAGAAAATGATGCATTGCTGCATTTTAATTCTGGTTCGCTTTGCATTCACACTGACATATTTGATTTTGAGTAGAAAAATGTAAACAAAAGTGACTGGGCAGATTTTACAACTTAACTGAGAATATTCAACAAACTTTCTTACCACATTGTGCTCTGGCCTAACTGAGCTCATAGGGTTTATTTATGTCTCTTTTTTAGTCTGTTCTGTCATATTCTAAGGCATTCTAAGCTGCGAGAGCCCATGCATTACTGCAGTTCTCCCACCACGCGAAGTGGGGGTAATACCTGTAAAGTCACTGTAAAAGTAGACGGCATTGAATGGGTTACTATTTTTATAAAAACACCAATAACTTGAAGCTTTGACACATAATGTATTTTATGTTTGTGATCATAAACACTATGTACCCAAAAGTATGTGGACATTCCTTCTAATTATTGAGAAGGAATTCACCACTAGTCAGCAGTTACATCACTGATTTTAGGTGTTTAGGTGTTTCAGCCACACCCTTTGCTAACAGGTGTGTAAAATAAAGTGCATAGTAATGCAATCTCCATAGATTCTCACTTGTTCTAACCGATCACAATAACAGAGCAATCACACCAGGGTTTGCTTTAATCAAACCAAACTTGCCAAGTCTGAGCACAAATTGTGTAAGTAGCGATATAAATGGCCCAATAGAGACAACAAAAGATGGGGACCAACAAAGACAAGCCCAGTGCGATAGCTGCACCACTAGTTAGCAGTTACATCACTGCTTTTTAGGTGTTTATGTGTTTCAGCCACACCCTTAGCTCACAGGTGTGTAAAATAAAGTGCATAGTAATGCAATCTCCATAGACAGACATTGGCAGAAGAATGGGTTGCACTGAAGAGCTCAGTGACTTTAAACATGCCATTGTCATAGGATGCCATCTTTGACACAAGTTTGTGAAATTTCTGCCATGCTAGATCTGCCCCGTTCAACTGTAAGTGCTATTTTTATAAAATGGAAGACTATGTAAACTCACAAAGTGGGGCCTCCAAGTGGTGAAGCGCATAACACGCAACACTCACTTCTGTTGCATCACTCACTACAGAGTTCCAGACCACCTCTGGAACAACATGAGCATAAGAACTGTGTGACAGGGGCTTTATGAAATACAGTTCTATGGCTGTGCAGCTGCACACAAGCCTAAAATCACTACACACATTGTGAAGTGGCAGTTGGAGTGGTGAAAAGCACACTGCCACTGAACAGTGAAAATGAATCACGCTTCACTATCTGGCAGTCTGATGGACGTCTCTGGGTTTGATAGATGCCAGGAGAACACTACCAACCAGAATGCATAGTGCCAACAACAAAGTTTGGTGGATGAGGGATACTAGCCTGTGGCAACAGTTTGGGGAAGGCAGGGATTGACAAGTTTGTTGTGGAAGAACTCCAGTGGCCTGCACAGACCCCTGTGGACACCTTTGGGATGAACTGGCACTTTGATTGCAAGCCAGGCCTACTTATCCAACATCAGCGCCTAACCACACACATGCTATTTTGACCAAATTCCCACAAACACACTCCAAAATCTTAGAAAAAAGTCTTCCTAGAAGACTGGGGGCTGTTATAGACACAAAGAGGGGGCCATCTCCATTTTAATGCCCATGGCATTTAGAATGGAATATCCAACAAGCCATTTTAATCATGATGGTCGGTTGTCCACTTACTTTTGGCCATATAGCGTACATGCATATCAAGTATTTGATTATTTTACTTATTATTTTTATTTCCACTTATTATTTTAAAACCTAAACTATGCATTTTATAATTACCAATTCAGAGTTCATGAAGAGATGACAAAACACACACGTCAAAACAGCATCAGAAGTTCATCTGTTCTACACTATATTGCCAAAAGTATTCACTCACCCATCCAAATCATTGAATTCAGGTGTTCCAATCACTTCCATGGCCACAGGTGTATAAAACCAAGCACCTAGGCATGCAGACTGCTTCTACAAACATTTGTGAAAGAACGGTACTGTGATAGGACACTACCTGTGCAAAGTCCAGTCGTGAAATTTCCTCGCTACTAAATATTCCACAGTCAACTGTCAGTGGTATTATAACAAAGTGGAAGTGATTGGGAACGACGGCAACTCAGCCACGAAGTGGTAGGCCACGTAAAATGACAGAGCGGGGTCAGCGGATGCTGAGGCGCATAGTGCGCAGAGGTCGCCAACTTTCTGCAGAGTCAATCGCTACAGACCTCCAAACTTCATGTGGCCTTCAGATTAGCTCAAGAACAGTTTGTAGAGAGCTTCATGGAATGGGTTTCCATGGCTGAGCAGCTGCATCCAAGCCTTACATCACCAAGCGCAATGCAAAGCGTCAAATGCAGTGGTGTAAAGCGCCGCCACTGGACTCTAGAGCAGTGGAGATGTGTTCTCTGGAGTGATGAATCACGCTTCTTCATCTGGCAATCCAATGGACGAGTCTGGGTTTGGTGGTTGCCGGGAGAACGGTACTTGTCTTGAAGTTTGGTGGAGGGGGGATTATGGTGTGGGGTTGTTTTTCAGGAGTTGGGCTCGGCCCCTTAGTTCCAGTGAAAGGAACTCTTTGCATCAGCAGACCAAGAGATTTTGGACAATTTCATGCTCCCAACTTTGTGGGAACAGTTTGGGGATGGCTCCTTCCTGTTCCAACATGACTGCGCACCAGTGCACAAAGCAAGGTCCATAAAGACATGGATGAGCGAGTTTGGTGTGGAAGAACTTGACTGGCCTGCACAGAGTCCTGACCTCAACCCAACAGAACACCTTTGGGATGAATTAGAGCGGAGACTGCGAGCCAGGCCTTCTCATCCAACATCAGTGTCTGACCTCACAAATACGCTTCTGGAAGAATGGTCAAAAATTCCCATAAACACACTTCTAAACTTTGTG